CATTGGTCCATGCCTGCTAGTGCCAGTTGAAATTTAGCCAGTCTGTTTGCTATAACTTTTGCTAGCAATTTATTGGAGAAGTTCAACAACAATATCGAAAAGTCAGAATATGACTACAGACCGCTGACCTTTCTTATAAAACAGGGTAATGATCCCTCTCGTTATGGATTCACCAAGTTTCCCCCCATTATATGATGTCATTGTAAACAGTTGCTAAGTCTTCCACAAACAAATCTCAAAAGACCCTAAGAACTTTTTTGGTAAACCGTCGTCTTTTGGTGTTTTACCTTTTGTTGTCGTTATTTATGTTTATTTTTTATTTTTTATTTTTTATGTTTGTATTATGAGCCTGCATTATTTGTTTTCAAAATTTTCCACCACGCTGTTTGTGGCGATGTGTCGAAAAACATTGAATTTTTGGCGTTACATTAACCGTCTTTCGTCTTCAGGGTTGCAGTTAACTCTTATGCGGTAATAAGATGTTCTATAAGATTTTTTGCCTCACGTGTCAAGCTAACATTCACATTTGCCCAAAGGTCAGACTTTGCCAACATACCGTGTTTTGATTATAATACATCGCTCGCATTGTAAGGATGTCCTACATCGTACGTGCACATTTTATAATTAGCTACTATTTGGGACAGTGTGAGCAAGTGAGAGTGGTTCAGTTTTCTCATCTGGACATTCTTTCTCCTTGGTTTCAATCTCTTAATTTTTTTTTTATTAGATGGTTATCCGTAATGATATTCTTATAATTAAAAATCTACTTCAACCCTTCTTGTTATCTTGTTATAGTTATTCTCAGTTTTTCAATCTTACCATTCTTTCCTTTGCACAAGCATAATCTTCCAGTCTTACCATTCTTTCTTATGCACAAATATACTTTGAGATCAGAAGCTTCCTTATGCTTGCTTTTACCTCCTCCACTTTCCTTTACCAATTTTCTTATGCCTCGTTTTTTGAATAAGTAGCAATGAATGAGAATACTTTCAGCTTACTATAAATAATTTTGAGACTGACTCGGATGTCCAACCACTCTGCTTTAACATTGGAAAACAATTTCATATATTCCCGGTTTCAGCAGAAACGATGACTCATTAGGTAATGTCTTAATCCTCCAAAAGCATCATGTTAAGTTTAAAGTATCCTGGTTCGACAATGACGCATTGCGTTCCTCAATCATCATCACATTGCTTACCATCTCCTCCACCACAAAGTAGTCAAATCTTCTCTTTACACTTGTAACTTGCATTGTTCGTCCAAACCAAGTATATGCAGGATTATGTGGGTTCATCTCCCTGTAGCTATTCTGTAGTTTTCATATTTTTATCCACATCAGCAGCGTTCATTTGTCCTTCTTCATTGTTTTCTTGCCCTTTGAATCTAGACCAGACTCTCTTGCAATGTTCCAGTCGCCTTCTATGCTCAAATGATCAACTTAATTATTTTTTCTCGATAGTAATCCAATAAACTGTATTTTTTCCAACGGTCATTTGAGAGGGGGAGGGGAAAAAGTCATTTGAGAGGGGAAGGGGAAAAAATCATCTCTCTTCCGATTTATTTCTTCATTTTTTTTTTGGGGGGGGGGAGTTATAAAAGCCCCTTGTGATAAAACCTTTGTATTCATTTCCCCCCAAACGGGGGAAAAAATGCCGCAGGTCCCAAAATCACATTTGGTGTCATTTTTTCACCCTGGTTGGGCTGGTAAAGACTGCTGTGTAAAAATGGCATGAAAGTGTTTTGCAGGGTGCAATCTGACGGCGAAAGTGATTTTGGGGCCTGCGACAGTCTTTTCCGCGTTTGAGGGGAAATGGATACAAAGGTTTGGGGCCTCGCCACACTACTCCCGACTTGGAGAAAAAATTCGGGAGCACTCCTGAGTGTCAGAAGACTGAAAAATCCACTCTGGAGAGTGCTTCGCCGTACTCTGCTCCCGAAAACACCACTCTCGAAGTCTAAGATTGGCAGAAGGCGCGTTCGGATGGAAAACAATAGGTATAGTAACTTGTCCTACACAAATTTCCGTTTCAGACTTCGGGAGGGTTTGGGAGTTCTCGAGCCCACCGCCCGAGGTCTCCCGAAATCACACTTTTGCAGGCTGGAGTAAAAAAGGATTTCGGGAGTGCTCTCGGAAGCCACATTCTGACAACTCCCAAATTCAATCTGACAGATTGAACTCGAGAGCTGGTGTGACGACGCTGCACTCCCGAAAATCACCAAGTCGGGAGTAGTGTGGCGAGCCCCTTTGTTGCTGGGAGGTCTTATGATTTTTCCTTCTTTTTTCCTTTTCATAATCTCGTTCGTTTTCCTTTTGTTTTGAGATGATTTGCAAAATACCCCCATAAGTTGACATGTATGCTGAAATGCCCCTGAGAGATGTGGGTAGAGCGGAGTGCCCTTTTGGGCCGAAATCTTTGTGTTATGCCCCTACCAGGTAGGTGTGCAAATTTGCAATCTGGACCTCACCGTTTGGGCCTTGGACTTTTGCAGTCGGGCCTCGGGAAAGTTGTAAAGTTCGGGGGTATTTTGCAAAGTTGGACAGTTCCCGGTAGATGTATATCGCAAAGACGAGGCGTCCAACAGACACTAGGGGTATTTCACAAAACATGTTTTTTGTCAGAGGGGCATTCCGCTCTACCCACATCTATCAGGGGCATTTTGGCATGTATCTCAATTTATGGGGGTATTTTGCAAATTACCCCTTTTTTTTGTTTTTTGCTTTTTTGGTTTTTGAGAAATGAAGAAATACCCGTAGCTCTAGGCTCGGCAAGGCTTGGCTTACCGCTTGCGGGAGGCTCGGACTTGATAGCTGGACAAGGTACTGGTGGTAAGCTGCCACATGTCATTTGGAAGTGAACAGCCTGCTGTTCCCCCGAGGCCTAAGCTAAGCTGAGTAATGCTCTCAGTGAGGTCCCTGGCTTCGGATTCGATTTTGCTACGGAATGATTCAATTGAAAAAAAGAAGAGTGTCGTAGACGTTCCATGAATTGCAGGTGGGAAGGAACCAAGCTGCTGCGGAACGGAGAAGAGACCATGGCCAGGCAATAAACAAAACAAGGAAAAAGAAGGGGGCGACGACGGTGTGTCGTTCGTCTCTCCGGACCTTGCCGACGGTGAGGCTCCGCCATTGTCGGAGATGGGCTATGCCTGGTGAGCGAAGGACTCCCTCATCCCATCTCTTGGTGTACCTTTTGGCGGTGGACGATGCCATCACTCGTGAGAAGTGGCCACCAATGTCATTGCAGTTGGAAAAGCATCGACGGTCATCTTGCCTGTCCAAAGCATCTAACGGTCGCCTTTGCCTGTCCAACCCACCCTTCCGAGAAGCAGATTGCATCCGCGTGTAACTGGCCTTGAAAGATCATGATCACTTTTCCTCCTCCCAATCTTGGGGTCCGCTAGCAGCCGACGTTTTCGTTACCACCGTGGTGGTCCCCACCCGTCGCTACAATGGATCCCTTTTTACCTGCGGGGGCAAGCTGGAAGTCGACCACCCACCCGCCCGCGGCCTCGTTTTCCCTGTTCCCTGGTGAACTTTGTGCGGGCAGCTGAAAACTGAAAATTTTGGCAGTTCGCTGGAGCGCCTGGCCGGCGGGTCCTGTATCACATCGGCGGCGGGAATTTGCAGTTTGGCCGGTTTCATCGAACCGCTATGCACGAATTGCCGAAATATGTTCTTCCCGCCAAACGACAACGTACCGGCCATTTTCCATTTTTCCGCCCCATTTTCCATTTTCCGTTCTTCCGCAACTAACGATAGGCGGATGGGGGACCACTCGGGTAAGCTGTTCCGCGCGGGAGAGCAACGAGGAGGCGCAACTCAACGGAGCGCCCGGTCCCGGCAGTATAAACTCCCAGCGGTTGTGCGCATAGGCCATTTGCTGCATTCCAAGCTCGCATTGGGAGGCCGGTTGCGCCATATCCAACCAAGGTGCGGCCGACCGACAGCAGAGGGCACATGAGGAGACATGGAACAGGCCGGATCGACAAGGAGCAGAGCAACGGAGCGAGTTGTCCGCGCCATCTCCGATGTGCTTTTCGTTCGCTCTGTTTAATTAAATCTCACCCTTCGCCTCATCTGTTATGCCTTCGTCTTTCCCGTCTCGGCGCCATTTTTGTCCTAGATTTTATCTGCAAACGTGCTCATTGCCTTCTGCCTGCTTGGCCGTTTGGCAAATACTCACCTCGTCTCGCAGACGTAACGCTGTATGAGTGATCAATAAATTGCACGCTGCCTGGTTTGCTGTCATCTTCCCAGCATCACGCACGTGGGCGCAGTTCTTTCTTTGCAAGATTTATTTCTTGCTAAGGTATCCACCTACTTCCCTGCTTGCGAACAGCAGGCGCATATGTTTCCTCCTCGCCATCATCGTTGCTGAAGAACCATGCCCAAGCGATCTTCTTTTGCGACACTGGTTCAACAACTAGTCATTCGTCTCTCCTCCCCTGCGGCATGAGATGATGCTAGTCGAGGCGCGGAATATGTAATCCCTGCCGTACATTGCAGGGCCGTTTTTTTCACCTCGCACCTCCTTCAGCTACATGCTTGATGTCCCAGTAGCGTATTTCATAGTAAAGCACTTTCGTTGCTTCCTTTTTGTCAATTTTCCATCACCACCAGGGGGTGCTCGCTTTCGTCCTCATGCGTCTTGTCTCTGACCCTCTCTCTGCTTCGCCTTTTTATACAGTTGCATTTCTGTCTCTATTGCCGTCAAAACGGACAACCTTGTGTCTGGTCTTTTCCGTCTCCCAGCGTAACGGATTCGGCGGCTGGAAACGGGGGGATCTCTGCCATCATCAATTCATTCGGAATGGATTAAAAGCGTGTGCTCATTTGTACAGCAGCAGAAAGCAGCGCCAGAGATCTTGTTCTGTCTGTGTTTCTCTCTTTCTGTTCCCGTAATCCTCTTGCTCCTCGATTTCCTGGTTGATTTCCCTATCCCGGTGGTCGGCGAGGGGTCGCGCGACTCAATTGGCACAGCAGGGCTAGTGCTCGCAGGGGCTCTCTGGCGGGGGAGGACGGGGAGGAGGCGCAGTTGCAAAGGTGGCTTTCGAGGATGCCACCTTCTAGTCCGGAAGTGGCAGGTCACCACTTGAGCAGCCCCCGTTCCTCTCCCGCTGATCCTTTCTCGACGAACCCGAAAGCAGGCCCGTCAAGCACACCGTCGATACACACGCGCAGCGCAGGCAGCAAGCGGCGGCAGCAACCAGTCGCTCAATTTCTATTCCCGAAGTCCGGCCACAAGAGCCACGTGAAGGACCCCCACTCTCGCTCGACTGCCGCTGCCAAAGATGGTTCCTTTTCCGCCAGCAAACGCTCCTCCTCCTCCTCGCGCTCTGAGGCCGACGTTACTCATGCGCATGAAGCCCCGCTTCCTCATCCTCCTCGACGCTACACCACCGCCGATGTTCGGGGAATTCTCTCGACTGCTTATCCTGGCAGAGCGAGGCAAGTGGACGAGCTCTTAGGACTTATTGGCGAGCCCGGTGATCCGACGGCTCCTATTCTCGTCTATGGCGGGGCGGCCACGGGGAAGACGACTCTCGTGCGCGACACCATGCGCCTGCTTGCCCGACCTCATGCTTTCGTGAGTTGCCGATCTTCGTATAATGCCCGCCTGTTGTTTGAGTCTGTACTTAATCAGTTGCTCGGTCACGTGCGGTGTTCCGCCAATGGATTTGCGAGTGCTAAGCGCTGCGACAAGATATCGGACTTCGTGGCCGAACTTCCGTCCGCCTGTGCCGTCGCTATTGCGCGGAATCGCCGCCCCTCTTCGGGTCCAGCTAATGCCGCTCCTGCTCTCCCACCCGCTCTTCCCGCGCCCGATTCCACGAGCGGGAATGGCAGTGATGATCCAGTGGCAGCGACAGCCACCACCTCTTCTCGTCCGTCCTCCCCACCTGTGGCTGCCGCTGATGCTCCGTCCCCGAGCTTATCGCTCGACTTCGACGACCAGGGAAGCCGCCCACCTGAAAACTCTTCGGGAGATGCCGAAGGAGATCCCCCTCTCACTCAGCACAGTTCGGCAGACGCTCCCACTGCCACGTCGTCAAATCCCCCATTGTCGTCCGTGACAGCTGCCGATCACTACTCTGCCAACGTCCGTGGTAGCAGCGCCTCTACAGCGGGCTCTCTTTCTGCCTGCGATTCCAAAAAGCACCCGTCTCATATGCCTTCTCCTCCTCAGTGTGAATCCGTCTTCTTGGTCTTTGATAATGTGGAGGTGCTGCGGAACTGGACAAATGGACATGAGGTCATATCGGCGCTTCTTCGCTTATCCGAATTGGGCAGGCTCCCAATGTTAGGGGTTATCCTTATCAGTAAAGTTGGATGGGACAGTTTTCGCTCGTGCACAGGAGCGCGGGATCCTTTACCAGTCTACTTCCCCGACTACAATGACGATGAGCTTTGCCAAATTCTCCTGCAGCGGCATAACCACTCTTCTTTGTATTCATCCTTTCTAAGGTACGATCCTCTTTTTGCAACTCACCACCTCCCTTCTCCAGGTCGTGCATACTCAGACCGTGGAACTCACCACCTCCCACTTCCCTTCTCCAGTTCGTATCCAAGCTGAATCTTGTCAACCTACTCTGTTTTCCATCTGGCTCTCGCTCACGTTCCTATGTGGATTACACCTGTTCCGTTTTGACACACTTCCTCCCTGTAGTCATCCTCTTACGTCTGCTTCCCTCTGAACTACTCTTCCTTGTTCTGGCCCTTCTTACCCCCCTTCCGCTTCCCCTGCCTTCCGACTCCCTGCGACATCACTCCCCTCCCCCTCGTCCTGTTACGCCTATTGTCTTCCGTGTCCCGGCTTCTTTCTCCCTCTTCCTCTCTTTCTTTCCTCCTCCTCTCTCTCTTCCTTCGGTGCTGATCCAATCAATCCCCCCTCTCTACGTCTTCAATGTGGATTCATCCAATCATCTTGATGTTCTTGTTGTCTCACCCTGCCGATGGTGTCTTTTCATGTGAGGATGCGTTTGCTCGACCGGCGCTGCTCGGTGTTTTTCCCTCTCCTGTTCCATATAACAGTGATGCGTAGCATGAGTGGAGTAAATGGGGACGTATCTGATTTTCCGCACCCTGCACATAGGGAGTCTAGGGCACCCTCTCGTACCCAGGTCTTGCTCGTTTCTGCACCTTATCATCGCTTCGTCCCTCCCTGGGTCAGTGACGGGGTTCTGCTTCATGCACTGAACTGGGCCCCATTATTTTCGCCTCAAGTTAAAATACACAAAAATCATTCAACTTATGAGAACTCAACATTGGTCAGCGCTGAGTTTGGAAGAAAGATACATCATTAGCCAAGTCATTGATCCCTTGCAACAAAAGCATACCTGTTTTGCTGCTCTCTTGTCCTTCACTTCTGTTTCTTGGCAGCGCACTGTTCTCATCAGTAAGAGCCCATTGGCATGTCCAACTGACATCTTAGCCCGCTTGTCTTTCGGCCCCTTGTTGCCTCTGTATTCATCTTAGGTTGCTCGTGTCGTGTGTAGTCTATCCGCTATCATCTTCCTTCCTAAAATAGGGGCTAGGAATGGGGGGAAAAGGAGTAGGGGATGGAGGCAAGGAGGCGTAGAGATGTGCAGAGAAGGATGGAAGTGGATGATTAGGAGAGGGGGGGCAATGAGGGTGAAGTGGAGGAAGTCGACGGTATTAGGAGGTGTCGGGAGGAGGGTTAGCGGAGGTTAAGACAGAAGAGGATAGACTGGAGGGATATTGGGGGAAGGGCGGACGAGAGGGGAGATGGGGGGAAGGGGGGCGGGGTAGGAAGAGAAGGGAGGGGGGGTGGAGATATGGCGGGAAATCGAGGAGACGGGTAGGGAAGAGGGGGTAAGGTAGTGGCGAATCAGGGGACGGGGTGGAAAAGGTGGAAAGCGGTGTGCGAGGGAGAGGAGGTGAGGAGAGGGAAAGGGAGAGGGCGAAAGCTTTGAGAGAAAGTGCATGGAGGCCGTCTGTCTGAACAGCGAACCGGATACTCGGTGATGGCATTCAGCAAGCGTTAAAGTTACCGTTCTTGTCTGTAGATTTCCCTAGGACGATGTAGGTGCAGCTGTCATGCTGGAAAACGAAAAACATTATTGTTGGGCGTCCGTCCGTTCATGTCTGTAGATTTTCGCTTCCTCGCCCCATCCCACCTCAACCCCTCAATCCTTTAGAACGTGGGGCGGGGTAGGAAGAGGAGGCGGAAGGAAAAGGGATGATGGAGATACGGCGGGAAATAGGGCAGAGGGGGTTAGGTAGTGGCCAAGGGGACGAGATGGGAAAGGTGGAAAACGGTGAGGGGAGGGAGGTCAAGGAGGAGGCAAAGAGAGAGGGGGGAAGGGAGAGAACAGAAGCGTTAAAGGAAAGGAAATGCAATGGATGGAGATACGGCGGGAAGGGAGAGGGCAGAAGCGTTAAAGGAAAGGAAATGCAATCGATGGAGATACTGCGGGGTAGGAAGAGGAGGGGTAGGAAGAGGCGGGGTAGGAAGAGGAGGTAGGAAGGGAAAGGGCAGAAGCGTTAAAGGAAAGGAAATGCAATGGAGGCCGCCTCTGGGGACTGCGGCCCGCGAACCGGGTACTTGGTGATGATGGCATTCAGCAAGCGTCAAAGTTACCGGATTTCCCTTGGACGAAGTGAGGTGCAGCGCATTCGCTTATGCTTATGTTCTTCCCCTGCCCGTCTCTTTTCTACTCGTCTTTAGTTCCTGTCATTCTGCGGTGAAGAGAGCTCGATAAATTTCTTCCCAATTTTTGATGTCGTCGTCGTCTTTGTGTGGGTCGGTTATGTGTTTCGTGGATGCCAGTTGCAGTCATCACTTGTTGTATAGGTCTCTCTATCTCTGTGCTTGTGCTGAAAAAGGGGGGGAAGTTCTAGCGCGGTGCGAAAGCTTGAGATGTCCCTTGTCTTCTTAATCACGATCGTCCAGGACTCATGTCAGATACCTTCAGCTAATGTTAGTTGAGGCAGTCGAGGACCGACAGGGACGACATACACGCTTGCCTGGTGGATAGAAGATTGGGTCGATAAGGACATCGCTGTTGTGGAGGATTGTTAAGCGCCGCGTCTCTGATATGATTTAGCAATCCACCTTCCCAGAAGCCCGAGGAGGATTGCTTTAGATGCCTGTCATAATGTCATTCGCGCGCTGTGTCTGTTCTTATTGACGATGCCACGTTGACGGCAACGGCGAAGGGACGAACTTCGACTCAGCAGAACGCAGAGGCCAATACTACAATTGTAATCAGAAGAAGAGCAAGAGGGAAAAAAAAAAAAAAAAAAAAAGGATGGATGTGCTTCGAGTCGTGGTAGTTAGTACTTACTGCCTTGGCTTTCATTCTCTAGTAAGTAAAAAACTGAAGTTACGACGCGTCTGCTTTGTCGAAGTGAAAGAGCGTAAGGTGTCGGACTCGGGGTGCAAGGCGACAGACACGTTGAAGCTTGCAGCTGATCTGTGATAGCAATTCGTTGTCCCGGAAATGGGCGCTGAAGGCTCACGGCGGGGGACAAAAAAAACACTGGTTAATTCTTCCTGGATTAAGGGGATGCTTTTTTTGACGGCATTTGCGAGAGCTTCGATGTAGGAGATAGGTCGCTGGCTGCCATTTCGGAAAAAAAAAAAAAGAAAAAGAAAAAAAAGATAAATTCTTTTCTCTTTGTGGATTAATATACAATAAATTAGAGGAGCTCGTCTTAATCCATCTTGCAGAGTACTTCCCCTTGCTGATAGGAGAAACTGAGCGGTCCTATCTGCTGACTGACTTTTTTTTTTTTTTTTTTTTTTTTTTTTGGAATCTCCTGACCTTTCCATTCACGTGGGACCCCTTTTAGTCATCCACGTGGCACCTTCTGTATAGTCTACATATCACGTGTTCTTGAAGATGGGTATGGTTCTGGAGGAATGCTTGTTTCCTGGATATGTAGAAGATGTGCCGTGGCTCCTGACGATATGGGAGACTTGTGCACAAGGGCGGCGGCTGGAACAGCACTGACGGCCAAACGATGGGAAGGAAGAAAGCCGGCGCGTCGGCGCACGTTAGACAATCTCGAAAAGGGGAAAATTGGAGAAGATTACCGGCGTTCTAGGGGACCTAAAACCGGTAGCGCGCTAAGGGCCCGCGCGAGCGCGAGGCCAAGGTACTCAATCTTTCGCGGGGCTGAGGTTGTGGTTTTCGGGGTATCTCCTGGATGTCTTTCCCTGTCTACATCCTCCTATCCGGTTTGCTGTACATCTGACTTGATGACAGTCACTCCTTGGTCACGAACATTTCTCTTCCTGTCTTCCTGTTAAGTGGACAAAAGTGGACTAGAAGATATCTGCGCATGCGTAGGGGGTGCGGTTGGGGTGTATCTTCCTGCGCCTACTTTTGTCACACCTATCTGCGCATGCGTAGGGGGTGTATCTTCTTGCGCCTACTTTTGTCACACCTGTTTTTCTCCCCCGCATCTTTTCCTGCTCATCATCTTCTCGCATCCATCTTCTCACAGGCCTTATGCTTCTTCTCTGCCTTCCGTGCTTAGTCCTCCAAGGCAGCTACAGCGCCCCGTCGCGTTTCAGTTGTCCGTCGCGTGTGCGTCTTGTTTGCCAGTTTTCATTCTCTGTTCTCACATTCTCTTGTTGATGCGGCTGACCGTTCTCTTTAGGGTAGGTAGCGCGACAATGTGGACTGCGTTGTCGTTTGTCCATCCATTATTAACGTGGGAATGCTCACTAGTAATACAGGAGGAAAGGACGAACTCGATGACACACTACTTTTACTCCAATGCTCATTCGGTCTGTCAATGCAAAGGAAGATAGGACCGATGGGTTTGGGCGCCACGGCGCGTGGTTTGCACGCCTCGTCCTTCGTGAGGATATCCCATCACGAAGTGATAAATAAATAATAGCTGGCGAACCTCCTATTTNNNNTTTTTTTTTTTTTGCTCAGTTGTCCCATTTACAGCGAAAGGTGTCATTTTTAGCGACAAATCAATCCACGCTGCGTCTTTCCTGGACGGTCGTACGACGCAGCGTAGCTTTTGTTCGCCTTCTTTTTGTTTGCAAGAAGGATTCGGACTCGCCACCATTTATGTACGACACAGCTTTGCGAGACTGTAGACCTTTCCCTTGCTTAATCTAGAAAAAAAAAAAAAATCGGCAGATAGAGCTGATTAAATTTCTCGGATGGAATGAGAGGCAATGGCCGTCTGACATCACCTCGGTGTCTGATGACGAGTGACGTTCTCCTTGTTTTTTGCTTTTTTTTCCTTTTTTTCTTACGTACCTGCTCTATGTCGGAAGGTCGGTCTCTTGCCGTCATTGGCTGCCACGTGGACGGTGATGGGTGGATTGGATGATGAACTTTAGGGCCGGAAGTCCGGTGACAAATTTGACAGACATCGGCAACGAAAGTACGGAAGACTAAGCTTTCAGCGCTTGTGTCGACGATGACGCTTCTCTTTGCCTAGGAAGTAGCCGATTTGTTGCATTCACTTCTTCCAGGTGGCGTGGGCTGAGGAAGTGCAGGGTTGGCATTGCCATAGCCCTGCGAGCGCCCGTCCTTGGCGTGGTAAAAGGATAAGAGCACGCAGCCGGAGGGGAGGGGAATTATGGGTAGGTAGGTTTACTCCTGAGCGTGAATGGGCGCTTGCTTGAGTGTGGTATCTGCCAAAATGTGGCAGACGGCGTCCCGCAACAGGTGTCATTGGTGTTGTGTTGAAGTACCGTCGTAAAGGATGATGTTCGGCGAGGAGGGGATGGAAGATAGCGGGGGGGGGAGGGGGGGAGAGAGGAGGGGAACAGCAGGAGTGACCGAAGCGACTTGCCAGTACGCGGAAGATGCCGCAGCACAGGATTGATTGATGGAAGGTACAAAACAGAGCCGATGACGACGATGATGATAGTGGGAATAGTGCAGCAGCTAACTGCGGGGGGAGGGGGGGGGGTGAGAAGGAGGGGAACAGCAGGAGTGACCGAAGCGACTTGCCAGTACGTGGAAGATGCCGCAGCACAGTATTGATTGATGGAAGGTACAAAACGGAGCCGATGACGACGATGATGATAGTGGGAATAGTGCAGCAGCTAACTGC